AGAGAAAACCCCATCAACCTATACATTTTCTGAAAGCTTAATAGTTATAGAATACAACCATTTCTTTGAAATTTTCTAAAAAAGTTATGGTCGCAGTGATATTGAAAGAAATACCAAGAAACACTGCTTCGCTTAAACTGGTTCGCTTCCGCGCGTGAATTATCGGAGCGGTGCGGTTTACATCGGAAATGTTTTCTCACACATTACCCTCAAAAAGGGTGTCTGCAATTTTCCAGATGTGGTTTGGTTTTTTTTCTTACACCCTACTAAACTTTGATATTTTCAATGCGGACGTTTCCTTCTACTAAAGAGGCCATAACTTTGAAACGGAAGAAAAATTAAACATAGCCCGACACCCTTTGTCGAAGGAGTTATTCTGGAACATACCTGCCGATTTTCAGCCAATTCCATCGCAAGACGCGCGTAAACGAACTAGAAATGTTCATCCTGATATGCGGTTTTATTTTATTGAGAAACAGACGAAAAACCTTGTATGAAATTGGTTTGAATAGGTTTTAAAAATCCCCTCCGCACTGACAGATGTCGGCATTGATCAGTTTACCACAACAATCCTTGCGCGGAAACCCGTCGCAGTGAAATTGTCCGAGAAGCGACAAACTGCATGTTAAACTGCCGTGATTTCTTTTACTTGAAAGATTTCGTCGGCAGCATTGGTGTTATGCTGTTTAAGTTTAGGCTTCTTCGTTCTCCAGACATTTTTTGAAACCATGCCTCGTGAAGCCAAAAAGAGGAAATCTCGAGGTCTACTTTATCTACAGTCTACATCTACATCTGCGCTTGACTCTCTCGTCGTGGAAGTTTCGGAATCGCGTCCGTTCTCCAGCAATTTCGTGCGACTAGCACTTGTTGTATTTTGTCCTTTAGCTTCATTGGCGGGACTAGGGTCATCGAGTTCCTTCAGCCCTTCTTCTTGGTTACAGTGCGATCCACGGTCGCTCAGAGCCAAAGATCTTGTTCGACGCTGAACCTGTGGGTTCCAGCAGATTTTCGCCTCTTCGGCTTCTTCGAAGACGACAATGGGCAAGAACTTTTCTTGCGTTTTCGACCTGACATAAAGAAAATTTGCCAAGAATGAAAGCTAACTTGCGATCAAACAACCAGATCGAGAACAGTCCGCGTTCACAAATGAAACATGCTACCGCAATTCGCATTACATGTGACAACTAGCGGTGAATTTTAATTAGAGGTGTCAACACGCCGTAAGGGATTAATGACATTCAAAATTTTTTTTTTTTTTTATCTTAAAAAGTAAAAAAGCCTTTTCCCCAATTTCTTTTTTGCAAAATGTTTATCTCAGTGAGTCAGCCAAAAAAATATTTTTCGCATTTTTCGTAAAAATCCACCTACCGTGATACCTTAACAGATGTTTTCTTGAGTAGATTTGCCCCAGTGGCATTATCTCATTCTTACTCCCTATGACGCTTTTCTCTTCTCAAGTCCAAAACAAGATGGCGCTCGCCTGATAAAAATGCGCTCTCCTAAATTTAGAACTCGTCTAAAAGGCGACTAGTATGTTATAAAAATCAAACACTAAAGTAATACCTACCATGGATGTAAACAAAAAATAATAATTAAGCCACTGTTCTTACGCTGATTATGTATTAAAAGCCAACGACAGAATGATAAAGAGAAGCTATCTTGACAATTCGACTCAATTCCTGCCTTTTGGGCTTCTAAAACTACAGACACTCTCACCATTTGAAACATGAAAACTGTCCACCAAGCACGAAAATGAAAAAAACAAACAAAAGAAAAGCAAACAAAAGAAAAACAAAACAGAAACAGAAACGCACACCTACACTCACATACACACACACCAAAAATAAAAAATAAGAAAAAACAAACAAACAAACATGAAAAGGGAAAAAAAACCAACAAACGAACATGCAAAAAGCGACAACAAAAAAAGTCCTCCAGAAAGAAAATTTAATCGTGCGCCCATAAAAAAAATTAAAGGGTCAATTTGTTTGGAATTTTTTTGTGCCCCTTGATTAGGCCATACATAATAATGAACATGGTAACTAATTGTTGGAAATTTATGCTTTATTCAGAGCTGTTTTAAAATATGATGATGTTAACGACAAAAAACGCCGTTTTAAAACAATAGACAGACCATATGTTGCAGACAGTTTGATAATTTGGATTGAAAGCATCAACTGTCATTTGAAACCTAATTTACCAACTGCTCGCAGAGTAGATTGACAACTGACTTTAATTTTTCTTAGAGAAATATTAACTGTTTTTTTGTTGGTGTTGTTTTTAAACCCATCATTCTAAGCCATTGTAATTATCAGCAGGAACAGGAACAGAATGGAATATGTTTCGTTTGTTTTGCTTTCTTGTCTACGATGTAGCCTTCTAAATCATTTTCTGTTGTAAAATATGATGATGTTAACGACAAAAAACGCCGTTTTAAAACAATAGACAAGCCATAGTTTCATAATGTGAATTGAAGACATCAATTGTTATGTGAAACATAATTTACAATATCAACTGCTCGCAGAGCAGATTGACAATTTATTTCAATTTGTCGTAGTGAAATATTAACTATATTAACTAACTATACTTATCATTCTAATTATCAGGAGGATGGATAGAAACAGAATGGAATGTGTGTCACATGTTTTGCTTTCTTTTTTACGATGTAGCCTTTTAAGTAAGTTTCCTTCATGAACGAATTTTAAATTGTACGGATTACGAAGTTTACCAATATTTTCATTGAACCCGGTCTTGGCTGAGGTGAGGATAAATACTTATTTGTTAACTTGAAGTTGATGTAGGTCAATTACCGCCAGAGGAAAGTGGTATTATTCCTTGATATTTCCTAGTCCAGGGTGCTTTTACTGCTGTGGTGTGTAGCACCGCGTGCATTTAACTGTCATAGTTAATTTATTCAGATTATCGATCAAATGCTCAGGTTAATAATATTGAGCTAGCGCGTTCTCATAGCTACAAAGGTATGGCCCTTATAGATCATAGATCATTTCTGACTACAAAATACGAAAACTGTACAGAATGTCGGGCGGAAAATGCAAGAAAATCTATCGAATAGGACGAAAATGTTGAAGAAAGTGTTGGAAAGACCAAAGTTTTAGCTACGAACGAAATCGTTCAGTTTTTAGGCTAAATTGGTGTCACTTATAACAATTTCAATGAAAATATAATTATTAACCATTTCGGTTGTTTGATTGTTGTGCATGCATGTCAAGAATCTCGTATTTCTCACCTTTACAAGCTGCTGCGATCGCTTTTTTTGTTTTGCTTTCGCTGACGACATGGCGAGTTGGTCTAACATGATACGGCAGGTATATTTTGCAGGTTACAGGTTGCAGGTTGCAAGTTGCAGGTTGAAATTTAATTATAACTGGAAAACCGCTGGCACTAAAAATAATTGATAACCTATATACTCGTCAGGGGTTCCTATATAAAGTAGTTCTTCTCTTTCACATAATGAAAACACGATCGATCCGCTGTAAGTACTTATCGATGGACACGCTGAGACCAGTGAAATCTCTTCAAAGTCATCTAGATGGACGCTCCACAGATGTTTCCATCAGTTCCAGATTTGGCTCGGGTCTTCCTCAACAACAGAAGATTGCCATCACAAATGAAGCAAATAAATAAAGAAATGAAACAATATAAGGTTTTAACCGACGGAATATACTAGCACAAGCTCAGTGAGCTTTTATTTTGGTACTCACAGGGAAGAAACCAAATTCAGCAGATACTTCAGATAATATTTCAGATTTTTCTTCAAAAACAATAAATCAGTGCAGGCTTAAAATCATAGGAATATACTCTCCTCCCATCGCTTCAGCCGGTTTGGCACTTAGGTGGAAGCTACCTTTCTGAGCGATTGTAAACAGCGAGATGTAACAGTCACGGTAAGTCTACCACATGTGCGTTTCTTTTAAGTGCCAGCGGTTTTCCAGTTATAATTAAATTTCAGCCTGCAACCTGCAAAATATACCTGCCGAAAATGATATGGAGAGTGATATTTTGCCTTACCATTTCGGTGTTAGCTATAAAAGACCGCCATGAAAAAAGTCGAGTCACGAAAAAAATGTGTATATTTATATATCGCCTCAGCAGCAAAACGTCGTCCTTTCGGTCATTCAGGAAAAAAAAAAATAACAAAAACAAAAACAAAACAAAACAAAACAAAACAAGAACAGTTGCGAATATTAGCCCGCRATCGAGTGCGTCAGGGCTTTAATGGCAGAGATAAATATTGCCTGCAGCTGGTGTTCCAGTAGCTTTTCTTGTCCTCCCAAACCTCCCCTTCCGGTTACAGAAAAATCTACAGGAGTCTGCAACGCGATAGAAAAGCGAAGAAAATGTTTTCTATTTCTTTCAGGAAACACTGGGGCAAAAAGAAAAAAACGTCACCCATTTATTTCGATTCTCAAAATTCAACCTCGCTTTGCTCGCTTCATGTTTATGTCAACAGCCCTGGCCGGTACCTCTGTGTTTCTATCGATTTGTGGAAGTACAGCTTTAAGCGACCGTGTTTTTTTCTGGACGTTTTCTCATTGTTGCATGTTATACAATTTTTGGTAGTTCGTATAGTGTGATCGTCCGGATGAGGGTAGTTCTGAAAAGAACTGTTGTTGGTGACTGAAGTTTCGCAACCTAAGCGGAAGTCACCTTGAGAGTCAAGTGAAATATAAAAGAATAATATACGATTTTTATTTTATCGAGAATTATTATTTAATTCCTGTTTTAGCAATTCTTTTGGTTCAATGTTTTCACACCGTTAAGAAAAAGCCATTTAATACAAAAGGCAGACAATACCGAGAAACGTTTGCTAAATTTATAACACTATAAAAAAAACATTATTACATGTACAATATAACAATATATAATTGTTATA